TGCACGAAAAAATAAATAAATGTGAAATAAAAAATTGATGAAACGTCTAGTTATGAAAAATTTTAAAAAAAATGTAAAATTAAAATAAATGATATATTTTATTATAAAAAAGCTTATTCCCAACTATATATATATATTTGTGAATAAAACACTTTCTTTGTAAGTCTTTTCCCAATTATATATATATATATATATTTATATATATAAATTAAATTATTCTGAAATTATTATTATTATTATAAAAAATAATAAATGAATTTGCTTCTGAGATTGATATCTTTGGTCGATCGGTGACAAATATAAAAAAACAAGCCAGAAAAATTATCCTTAAAAGACTGTCTTAAGTAGTGATTTATAGTTTATTAAATGTTTAATTTTATTAGTTTTTATTTAATGTTATATATTTGTAGTTTATACATATTAAGTTTTATGTATATATTAAGTATTATGTATATATACAAATCTATTTATGAACTCTTAATACTCAATTTTTTTATATTATCTTTAGTTTATATTTTGTATACTTTAAAATGTAATTATATTGTATTATTGCCTTGGGCGTTGAATAAATAAATAAATAAATAAATTATCAATGCGTTTGTTGATACTGTTTTTATCCATTTGAATGAAGTATGACTCTGCAAAGCGTCTCTAAGACTTATAATAAAGTCTAAATTAAAGCAATGATTATAATTTTTATATAATAAGTGATCATAGTTTGATTTTGATTATATTTTTGGAATTTCTGTAATATTGTTAAAGATGTTTTATTAAATGATGTCTTACATATATTGCATTGCAATCTTCATAATCAATTCAATAGATAAATAGATTGAGAAATCTATCAGATATAAAAGAATGCGAATAAAAAATATTTTAAAGGGGAGAGCTTTTGTATATGATAAAGTTAGAGGAAATTATTAACTTCCCGTAGGGCAGTTATAATAATGGGCCGAAAATCGAAAATGAAAATTTTTGCATTTCTCGACGTTTTGAAGGTTTCTGAACATTTTTAAGGGGCATACCTCAGAAACTAAATCGATGTGTGTGTATGTGTGTTTTGTATGTCAGCATTTTTTCGTCCACGTTTTCGGGCCCACGGATCAACCGATTTGAATGATTTAAAAAACATTCGATCCCTATTGATCCGTTACAGAGATACGGAGTAAAGAGTGCAGAAAATACAAATAGAGTTTTCGAGAGAACGGAGTATCGGATTTGAATTATCTAAAAAACATTCATTTTGTAATAATTGGGAGAAGAGGTGATTAGTTTTTGACAAAGACAGGTCCCGCCATTTCGAAGATACAGAGCTAAATATGCAAAAATGGCAGTTTTTGTGTGAACTAAGCGTCCGATTTGATTGATCTAAAAAACTTTCTGCTTGTATTGACAAAACAATTGCTTTTGAGGATAAAAAATTATTACATATTTTTTTATTTTCCATAAAATATTTTTGTAATTTTGGATTAAAAATTCAAAAAATCATCCAGGCTAAGCACAGTCTAAGCGCCACTCTGGTACAAATCTTTACCCAAGTGCGTTTAGACTTTCGCACAAAATTATTCGCAAATGCGTTTGGAATGTGACCATACGGGAGCACTTTTTCAATTTTGTGTAAATTAGGCAACTATTTTTTTTTTTTGAAATTAAATTCGAAATGAAATGACGATTGTTAATGTTCTGGAAATAAATTGATTTATGATTTACATTTGATTTGCTCAGATATAACAAACAAGATAGCAAAAATAATGAAAGTTACAGTATTTGTAATAATTTAATTGAAAACGTTTAAAATTTCTCGAATATTTCATTACGGTACGAGAGGTTCCTGCAATTTGCCTTAAGACACGGTGCCATACACCACTAGTTTTACTCTTGGTTCAGATAAGAGAGCAAATTTGTCTTTTACTATTTGGTAGTATAATCGAATGCATTAAATAAATATATGTATATAGAGAGAAAGCAAAAGCATTATAGTGTATGGAACATTTTCATTACATGTCGTGTAATAATGTGTCTGGCCTGGTCGTCTGCTAAAGTCGTTATCGAGCGAATGACGGTGGCGACGCCCCACGGAAAAGCACACATGTGCAAACACCCACACAAAAATACACATACACATATGAACACACGTACACACACACATATTGTTGTGCACCACTGCTATAATTCAATAAATAATCTTATATATAAAAATGAATCGCAAAATGTGTTGGTAAGCGCATAACTCAACAACGCCTGGACCGATTTGGCCAATTCTTTCTTAAAATGTTTGTTGAAGGTACAAGGAAATAATCGAATAATTCTCAGGAAAACCCTAAAAACAGCCCTTTTCTTTTTCACATACAAACGTTTTCTAACTAAAATGTAGAATCAATTTGATTTTTATTGCTATTATATAAAGTTCATATTAAATTAAAAGCAGTCACTGTATACTCCTTCTAAACGATTATGCGGATTTTGCTAAATCTTTCTGAAGTTTGTTAAGGAAATTTTCTAGGGTGTATGTGATTATAGGGTACTGGGATGTATGTGCAATATTGTAGAAATAAATGGAAAAAATTGCAAAAAACGACATGACATCGTTTGCATTAAAATTAATGAAAACTATCATCTGCCAAAAATTTCAATTTACTTATGAACCTAGACAATATTGGAATATGTATAATAAATTTATGATTATGAATAAGAAAAATGAAATGCCTACATTATTATTGCCGAAATGCAGCTGAGATGTGCCAGAAATTAAAATAATATAAGATACAGTATATGTATAATCTTTTTAAAAAAAAAATAATTTTTGGTACGGGAAGTTGCAGCAATTTGCTTTAAGGCACGATGCCATGCGCCCCACTAGTTAGTTAAATTAAATTTAATGAAACATAATATCAGTCTTTTATATATAAAACTAGCAAACCCGACGAACTTCGTTTCGCCACAAGATGGTTTCGTGAGAAAGATGAAGAAATTTTTTGTTTGTTTTATATTTGAAAAGGAAAAATTCGATTTTATTATATAACAGTAATGAATTTATTTCGATTACAAAAATGAAGTGTTTTTTAGTTGAACTTTTCTAACTAAATGAAAGTGAATCCGCAAATTATCCGTTTCATTGAAGTGCTCTTTGGTAAACCTCATTTTTTGTTTTTTGGTCTGGCGTTAACATAAACAAAGCGGATGGTTTTCCAACTCGTATAACTGCCCATGTGAAAAACAATGATTTTCTAAATAATCTATTTGAAATATATCCCGCAAACACTTAGCGATTGGCCTTGCGACTTGTTATTGCGAACGCAAGGAAATTGCAATTGTTTGAAGTCAAACGGAAGACCAATCGGAATCATTGGTATGTCACCAAATCGCCAGCAATTTTTGATTGAATGGTGAAATTCAGTGCGTGTACATCATTATTCTTTGCGGAAATCAAGAATTGCTCGTTGACTTAACCAAGCATAATTCTGATAATTCTCACTAATGTCATTACTCGAATTGTTAATTACGGGGTAAAGGACTTACAAGTCCTCTGAGAAGTGCAAGCAGCCTTTACAATAAACTACCGGACGAACTAAAGACAATGACGGACCTAAACAGTTTCAAAAGTAAATTGAAAAATTACATAAGAGATAAATGAAACTAAGGAGTTAATATCCCTATTTTAAATATTATATTACTTCTGTTTTGTAAAAATATTAATTACAATTAAGTATAAGTATGTATGTATGTATGTATGTACGCAAGCGTTCTGTGTGTGTGAAGTTCCAGCAATTTGCATTAGGGCACGATGCCATGCACCACTAATTTTTCTAGCTATAAATCTTGCGGAGATCTTTTCAACGAATGCAAAATTATCGAAATGGGTTCGTGCGTTCTGGAGTTATATCGTTAGGAAGGAAAACCCGACTTATTTTTATATATATAAAAGATATATATATATATATATATATATATATATACTAGCTGACCCGGCAAACCTTGTTTTGCTATTAAGGTATATTCTAAACAATTTCAAGAGAATCAAAAATGTTAATACTTTAAGTGTATAAGGATGTGTTGTTTGAGCGGAGAACAATGAGTAGCTGTCAAACAAATGAGTAGCAGTCAAACAAAAATTATTAGTTTGTTGTACATGCTAAGTATTAGAGATGAAGCTGCATGTGAAAAACGATTTTTTTGCTTTTCTGGGTTTTTTTTTTTCAATTTTCTTAGCTATAAACCTTGCGGAGCCCGAGACCTTTTAACGAATGCAAAATTGTCGAAATCGGTTCGTGCGTTCTGGAGTTAAATCGTCAGGAAGGAAAACCCGACTTATATTTATATATATGTAGGTAAACAAGTATCTTCTATCACCTGACCTTTTTGCAGTGTTCCAGTATGTCCATACAAAACTTTGATTGAATAGCGCTCTATCTAAACGTTAATATTAAGAGCTAAAACTTTCAGAGAATTGTTTTTTGTCAATTTGGAACCATTTGAGCCCCTGGGAGCAAGGAAATTCGAAAATGACCATTTTAAGGACCACCCTAATATAATAGATAGAACAAGTATCTTCTATCCCCTGACCTTTTTGCAGTGTTCCAGTATGTCCATACAAAACTTTGATTGAATTGCGCTCTATCTAAACGTCAATATTAAGAGCTAAAACTTTCAGAGAATTGTTTTTTTATCTATGTGGAACCATTTGAGCCCCTGGGAGCAAGGAAATTCGAAAATGACCATTTTAAGGACCACCCTAATATAATAGGTTGTCAAATATCTCCCTTCCGCCTTTTTGTATTATAAACCAAGAGCAAAAAAGCGGAAGGGAGATATTTGACAACCTATTATATTAGTGTGTGTGTGCGTGTATGTATGTGTGTGCGGATACAAATTTTCGTCGACGATTTCGGGAACACGGATCAACCGATTCCGATTATTCAAAAAACATTCGATTCTTATTGATAAAGAGATATTTTTATAAGTATGTAGATAAATAACTATCTTCTATCCTATCCCCTGACCTTTTTGCAGTGTTCCAGTATGTCCATCTTGTCCCGAAGGCAGGCCGATCCCCTCGGCGGCTTCGCCGTCAGATCGGCCGTCCATCGGCCGTCGTCGGCCAGGTGCTGCGGGTGGTAGCCCTGGCCAGGGTCGCACAACACCGCAACCTGGGGCTCCCAGCGGGAGGAGCCGCTCGTAGCCAGGGCGGAGGCAGAGGACGAGGCGCCGTTGCTGGCGGCCTGGAAAGATAAAAGATTTATGTTAGTGAATAATAAGAAACATATGTAATACGTAATAAGCGACTTTTTGAATTTTTAAAATATCTCAAAGCGTTCTCGAGATATTGCATTAAACATTTCGATTTTGCAGGATCCATATTGATTTTTTACAACTTATAAAATTTGCAAAGTGTAAAAATGCAATTTTGCAAAAACTATTGCAGATATTTTGGTGATTCAAAAAGTTGTTCTAGAAACATTTTTAATTTGCCATCGAATAGTAATACCCTCCACTTCCAATTTTCACTAATTAATCAAGAATATACTTTCTTCATATACAAATTTCAAGGATCTGATAAAATAGTTAAAAATGCAAGTTGATAGCATTTCTATACCCAACTTATATATTTTTAAAGCTAGTTTTTCATTACCGATTGTGTTATTTAATGTTTTCTATATGAGTATGCAAATTTAAGTTGTATTCTCAGTGAACGAGTTAAAACAACAAATCGTGATTATCACAGTGTGATGGCAAATTAAAAATGTCATATGAACCACTTTTTGAATTACTAAAATATCCCTAAAGGTTCCCGAGGTATACCAATTTAGGGTTTTGAAATTTTTCTAATCGAAACTTAATGTAGGAACTGATGGTCTTTTAGGTATCGTAACGGTATGATTAGATAGGTAATAATTAGATTTAAGTCCTTTAACGTATTGTAATAGATCTTGGGTACTTTTATATAAAAAAAGAGTGCGCATAAGGTTCACACGCGATTGAAGTAAAACTTATTTTCTACTGAGCAAGATGGCATTTAAGTAAAAATAAATACATCATATAACAATTTTGAATAATATTTCTTAATGATAATATGGTAATACACGTGATGCACATATTTATTAGTGTCAAAAACATTATACACATTTATATAATGATAAATTATAAATTATATATCTATAATAGCATTAAATATATGTATAATATTTAAAAACAATAATGTAATTAAAGTCAAGCAAGTTGCATGAACACTTGTAAATAATATACTTTGTCAGTATAAAATGAGTTTTAGCTATTTAGATACAATTTTATATCAAATATTTGTTATATTGTAATTTAAAAAAAAAACAAAAACTATATTTAATTATATTTTTCAATAGAAACATATTTATGTTATATTTAACTCAAGTTAGCGTTCCGACTAGTTTTACTCATAATATCAATATCTAAGTGTATATAACAATTTATACCAAATCTTAGTAAATTTCAACGAATTTGTTTTCAATGTAAACAAATCAAGTAGTCTAGAATAAAATTTTCATGTTATTTAACAAAATGTCCCAAATCCACTTATTGCTGATTATCAAAATACTGAACTCTGCGTTCGGCAAGTTTTATTCAAAATTAAGTGTATATATTAATTTATACTAAATTTTGGTAAATTTTATTTACTTTTTTCTAATGTGCGCAAATTAAAGTGCCAAAATTAAAGTTTCCATGGAATTTAAGAAAATGTGAAAAAGTGTCCCAAATCCACTTATTGGTAATTATCAAAATACTCTAGTTTGTGTTTCGACTATTTTTATTCAAAATTTCAATGTGCACGTGTATATGATGAACTATACTAAATTTTTGTAGATTATATCTAGTTTTCAAATATGATATGATATCGGTTTGTCATTGTAATTAGTATTTAGAAATGAACCTTCATTAGAGAAATGAAGTAATTGCTGATTAATGAATTCTGTAATACTCGTTCACACAGTGGATTATGTTAAACAACGCCTAAACAAATATTGTTTTCACAATTTCACTCATCATATAATATTTGTGTTTGAAGAACTTCATGTAATTAAAATTAACATACATTCATTGACTGCTTGTATTTTTTTTTACTTTTTCGCTGGCGATATAATCTCATTTTTTACACAACTGTAATATCTGTCTTGCCTAAAAAATATTTTCCATTTTAATAACTTCAAAAATTTATAGAAACTACGAATAATATAGAAATCATTTCTAAATTTTTACTTTGAAAATTGATATCTGAATTGGTGGAAATTGTGTAACAAAGAGTATTTATATATTTTTTTAGATAAAATTCAACATGTAGGTTCTAGCTCTTCGTTTATATTTGTATGACCACACCTTTGATATATGAAATCATTATTTATACAAAGAAAACAATAAAGATAAACGTTTATGGTTCTATAGACCTCAGATTTATCATTTTGTTTATATATATACATATATATATATATATATAAAGAAAATGATAAATCTGATATATATATATATATATATATATAAAGAAAATGATAAATCTGATATATATATATATATATATATAAAGAAAATGATAAATCTGATATATATATATATATATATATATATATATATATATATATATATATATCTGCAGCAATTTTTCAAATTCAATCAACAAAAACTTCACAAATATTTGTTTATTAATTTTCACAATTTCCATTCCTTCGATTTTATTTTTAAATATTTTTATTTATTTTCCATTGTGTAATGTTTTTGCATCACAGCAAAAAGGTATGTAGGTTAATTTTTTTTATCAAGCCGTTTTTTGCATAACAGCTCCGGAAAAAAGTCCGGATCCCCCGGAAAAGCGAGTCAGGCTCTCTTGACCTGAATATGTGATCGGAATGTATAATGGATATGTAGATGGATGGATCAATAGTGTGATGAATGGAAAAAGAACGTTTTTGAAGTAAAACTTCTTTAGGCGCGACTAGGGTATAAATCCGTACAAATGCAACGGAAGCGCGTTACGGCACATAAGATAAGATAAGAGTCTAGTACCGATGATTCGTCATTCGCTCTCGATAATATCATTTCTATACGGGTCGATTGTGATTGGTCGTCGTGTATGTGAATAGAGATCTGTCGTTGTATGCGTACCGGCATCAACGTTGTATGCGTACCGATATCAACAAGGAAATCGACATAGATAGATAAATAAACATTTTAAAGTTACATCGTGATACAAATCTTGATTTAATGAAAAATGCCTGAATCAGAAGAATATTTTACCCTGTTCCTTGAAATAATAAAACAAATTAAACATTTGTGTCGTGTACTAAACGTAAATTTATTAATTAGAAATTATTTCTATATTATTCGTAGTTTCTATAAATCTTTGAAGTTATTAAAATGGAAAACATTTTTTAGGCGAAACAGATATAACAGCTGTTCAAAAAATGTATGCTCAAGCAGTCAATGAATGTATGCTAATTTTAATAACACGAAGTTCTTTAAACACAATTACATGATGAGTAAAGTTGCTAAAAATATTTTTACATCATTGTATTGTATGAAGAAGTTTTTGATAATTTAGTTAGCTATAAAATTGTCTAAGATAGTATATACATCCCACATCTAATTTAGGAATTATCAAGAATTTTTCAACCAAAATCACTATATTTGCATATTATTATTAAACATAAAGTGCAGTATATGCTATGTGAAAAGCAATTTATTAATATAAATATTAATTTCACAACACTTTATTATATGAAAAACTTTTAGATAATTTTGTTAGCTATAAAATTGTCAAAGACAATATATAAATGCTATTTCATTTCTCTAATGAAGGTTCATTTCTAAATGCTAATTACAATGACAAACTGATCATTTCACATTTGAAGTATGACTTTAATTACATTATTGTTTTTAAATATTATACATATTTTTAATACTATTATAAATATATAATTCATAATTTATCATTATATTAATGTGTATAATGGTCGACACTAATAAATGTGTGCATCACGAGTTTTACCATATTACTAAGAAACATTATTCAAAATTGTTATATGATGTATTTATTTTTACTTAAATGCCATCTTGTACAGTAGAAAATAAGTTTTACTTCAATCGCGTGTGAACCTTACGCGCGTTCTTTTATTTATAAGAATAAAAATACATCAATTAGCCATGTCAACTAAAAATTTCTATCAGCCCTCCCATTAATCTCACATCATGACCACAACAGTTTATTATATGCAGTTGAGTTTGTAATTTTATAGGCATATATATATATATATATATATATATATATATATATACACATTTGTATATTTGAATATAAATTCAAAACTCTCTCTCGAAAGCAGCAATTTTATGAAATTGCGTCCCTGAAGTGCGTCAAATGCAGCTGACACTTGACTTGTAATTATGAACTGTTTTGGGAACTCGAAATTAACGATTTCTGGTTTAATAAACACCAAACATGTATACATTTAATTTTATAATATACACATATATATATATATATATATATATATATATATATATATATATTCAATATATATTTTACGACTATTGGGAATTGGCTAAGTACAGAAAATCCATTTGACATCTGCGTGGATTCTGTTTGCTCAATAAGAGTAAATTCTTTCTTTTTCTCTATTATATATATATATATATATATATATATATATATATATATATATATATCGAGTGCTATTTGCAATGAGAAACTGCAATTACTCTAATAAGATTCCAACGAGGACGAAATAAAATCAAATAGGAATCAAATAAATGAATTGCTGCGTTCGGATTAAACAGATAAATAGAGATACACAGTTTGGATAAACGAAACTAATTTAATTTATATATATATATATATATATATATATATATATATATGTATATGTATATTTAATTTTAGTTAAAAAGTCGGACGTTACATCAATAAAAATAGTATGAGAGTTTTTAGAAATTTATTTAAAATCCATACGTTTCGGCTAGCATCTTATCTTCATTCAGTGGCAATCAATTTAACTATAAAAATTAAAACTAGATAAATAATATATAAGAAATTTCACAAAAAAACAAAAATAATAATAATAATAATAATAATAATAGTAAAACACAATTTTGTATCCTAAATATGGCATATGAAAACATTTTTAATCCATGGTATGAGTATGTGCACATTGATAAAACATATATTTTTTAAAATCACAGATGGTAAAACACACAAATAAAC